TAGTACGTCGGAATCCCACTTAAAACTGCTTGAATGAGAGTTAACCTCCCTCCATTCGAAGAAAAGTTTTTTTTCCACAACGACGAACGCTTATGAATTTTCTCCAACACTGGTGCTCAGAAGGAGAGAGTCTTAGGATTATGCCAAGCGTTGGCTATCCTTTTTTCCTCCCACCGGGCTTGAAGGCTGAATGCCCAACCCACCTACACTCTGCTTACTCCGCCCGCCAACACCTCCCATTGAACGACTTAGGGAATTGACCACCGACTGGGCCTTAACATCAAGCCCACTATCCGACAAATGGCCCAAAATCTCTTCCGCCGGCCTTTCTTCTTTTCCTTTTCTACAAGAAATCCCGCCCCCTTCAACCGTACCGAATTTAAATTATTTCCCCAAATTCAGGTCTCCTCACTTGCTGAAGAGGCCACGTCGACGCTTCTCCTTCCACAAGCTTGAACCGCCGAGATGTCTAGCGCACAACTACCTCCAACCCCTTCCGGGATAGCGTTTGCTGCGTTTTCCACCAAAAAAATCTCATCGAAAATTTTGTATCCTAGCGATGAAGGAAGCAGCCTCTAGGGATGAAGCCATCACTTCTCCCCACTGCCTTAAACCACACTTCCGCCTCCTAAGACTCTCCAAATCAAATATTATCAAGAGCTTTAACTAGCCTGCCATAAAGATCGGTCAATCTACTGACCACCTTCATCGTTCTCAGGTGAGGAGGGATATCCAGCATTTTCACCCATCCTTCTTTGAATTCTAAGCATTTGTTCGTAGATATGAAGCTAACATCCCAAGCTCGTATTGAAATCACGCAGCCCAACACCACCCCTCTGCGAAAATCTAGAATCTTCAACAGCTTCCCCTATTCAACACGTGAATCACCAACAGATTGCTACAGCAAAGAATGAACCTTAACGAATCCCCAAACATTTTCCTTAAACCCCTTTCGATTTGTATCCTAGCAGTGAAGGAAGCAGCCTCTAGGGATAAAGCCATCACTTCTCCCCACCACCTTAAACCACACTTCTGCCTCCCAAGACTCTCCCAATCAAATATTATTAGGAGCTTTAACTAGCCCGCCACAAAGATCGGTCAATCTACTGACCATCTTCATCGTTCTCAGGTGAGGAGGGATATCCATCACTTTCACCCAACCTTCTTTGAATTCTAAGCACCTGTTCGTAGCTATGAAGCTAGCATCCCAAGCTCGCATTGAAATCACACAGCCCAACACCACCCCTCTGTGAAAATCTAGAATCTCCTCCCCTATTCAACACTGTGGATCACCGACAGATTGCTACAGCAAGGAATGAACCTTAACAAATCCCCCAAACATTTTCCTTAAACCAATTTCGATTTGTAGCAAAGAGTCCCTTGCTCGCTCTCTCACTACCAAGACGCACCGTCAAAAGTGCACTCTACATCATCATCCTCCTTACACAAAAAAACCCCACCCTCTTCTTGACAACCCTTCACTACCTTCGCGAAGGTAGAATCGTTGCAAAACCGAACCAGAAGGACTAGGTTCCACCCGATACGGGTCACTCTTCAACCTAGCAAAGAGGCTCGAGTTCAGCTCATCTCTAAAGGCGCGCCACCCCTACCCCTCAACTCCTTCAAGGACTATAAGCAAAGAACGCTTTCCTTTGTGGGGTTCCACCGCTAACATACAACATCTACCTCTAGGATTAACTACCAATTGGAACCAGACCAGACCTTCGACAAAGCCCATCTTTTGAAGAACATTTCTACCTTCGGACGAGCCCTCACCTCGTTGAAGCAATCTCTTGCTTGAGCAAGAGAACCCAGTTCCAATCTGACCTTAGATGACTTCCCCCTACAAACCTCCTCTATGATAACTTCTTTGGCCGGACCTAATCTTTTAAAAATAAACCTTTTCCTCTCCACCCTCACGATGGAGGATGATAAGTTTCCGACTCTCATGGGCTGAGCAATCACCCTTGAGCAATGATGGAGARTAGAGGTTTTTAGCTTGAGCCAAGATCAATATTTAAAGTACGTATTGGTTACATAAATGTTGATACTTACCATGAAATTAAACATATTCTTTTAAAGGCCCCTAAGTTCCAAACTATAAACAATTCAAATAAAATGCTAAAAGTATAGTAATAAAGAAATTCTAAAAGTTAATAGATACTAAAATGGGTCATAGGTTAGCATTCAAGAGTTCTTGGGTTCTGGATAATGGTTCATAGGAGAATATTAATCAAATGTTAAGTGGAAACAAGCTCAGAAGTAAAGTAACGTTGGTGTGGATTAATGTGGTTAAAGTTTTCCCTTTAGAGCATTTGGTTTGGAAGAAACCAAAGAACTCTCAAATAAAAATTACTTGATTGGTTTGAAATATGGAATTATTCTAAAAGTCATGCTTATCTTTGGTGTTCACAAGCAAGATTGTTTTCAAATTATTCCTCCAATATTTGGGAACGTTTTTTGTAAGTCTGTTAGTAGGTTTATTTCTTCATGTATTTATTTACAAAAGTATGCTGTAAAGCGGGGGGTAGGTTCATCCATTATTTGTCCATATTTACTTTTTCTCAATACTGTAACTTCTAAAGTATCAATGAAAAGTGTTGTTTCTATTTTAAAAGACGAAAAAAAGGCTCATAGGTATACTATATACAAAAGCAAGGGAAAGGAGAGGACATTAGAACCTCCAAAGCAAGCCGAGAAGACTCCATTATACGAGCATATAGATATTCTGTCTTTCCTGAAACATGGAAAAAAGAAAGAAAAAAAAAACTTAAGAAACCATTATAAAAGCATGACACTGCAAATCTGAGATTAAGAACTCGAGGGTACCAGAGTGAGTACTTTGCAGTAGACTTTAGGCTTAAGATAAAAAAATTGTGTTGGTTTATTTGTGGATATTAGCTGTAATTAGTTGTAAATATTAAATTCTTATTTACATTCCTTTTATGTATTGCACATTTCTCCTACATAAGAAGGTTGTGTACTTGAGATATATTATTGGAACACAAGTATTTTATTCCATCTAAATCAAGTTGGTATGAGAGCCTACCTTGAGAAACCCTAGACTCTAACAGTTAAGCAGCCACTGTCGCCGCCTTCATCGCCGGAACCCTAGCTGCCGTCGTCAAACGACACACCCTACTTTCGGACGATCCCTTCGTGCACAGGTTGCCTACACTGCTGGATTTATTTGTAAATCGTGACTCTGTTTTCGCCGGATCCGTTCCCATTCTCGCCGGTCGCTAGTTCGAAAGGTTATCGTCGTTCCGAGAATATCAGATTCGA